CTAAGAGTCCTGACACAAGGTTAAAGATGTCTAGTGAGCTGTCCAAGACTGCACATTTATGTCCTGGACCGTGCTGCTCTCTGCTGCCTCCTTGGATGGCAGGAAACGCCTGGTCTGAGCCGGTGAACAAATGCCACATGAAGTCGGATATGTCAGCTAAAAGGTAAGATAATTATAACATCCAGACATCCTCTTGTGAGATGCAATTTTTCGTTATTTGAAGCCCTACTCTGGCTCATGCCAGGGGCCGCAATATAGCTCAGCAATAAATATGGCCTAATGGCCGAAAGCGGTTTCATGGGTGATTCAAAACCACATGATTGCACTTTGTGTCAGCAGTTGTTTAACGCTTGTGTGATGCCATGCTGGGGGTGATATGTACTATACTACTACTACTACTACTACTACTACTACTACTACGACTACTACTACTACTACTACTACTACTACTACTACTAAAAGGTAAATATTGCAGCTGTAATGTAGACTGATTGTTTAAAAGAAGCTAATGAAAGTAGACCTATATATGCAACATCAAGAAAAAGACAAACACTGTTCTTTGGCCACATAATAAGAAGAAAGACAATGGAAAACTTTGTGACAACTGGAAAAATCAGTAGGAAAAGGGGTAAAAAGGCAGACCAAGAGAGATGATGCTGGATGGGCTGAAACGATGACATGGAGCAAAATCATCAAGAGAGCTGTTCCGAGTAATCATAGATCGTGATCTGCGGAGATGCATGAGTGCTTATGCCAGGGCACATGATGACGCTGTAAACTGGCACAATGCAATTACGTCACTCAGATGAACGAAGATCTCTCTTCCCATCGTATCCTCACTCCTTTACCAAAAAGTCTGCCAACAGTTACCCAGTTATTTTCTTATCACAATGTGCACAAAAAATTCTGACAATGTGTAACTTCCTCATCAAATTATGGAACATCTGCATATATAAACAGTGAATGCACACACTGAATATGGCAAACAGAGAAGAGCACACAACTTGACACCTAAATACGCAGATCCATGTACAAAACTTAACAAGACAAATTAGGAAAGAAGAAAATATGATTTAATAGTCTTCAAATTTACATACACAACGGAACAGCAATACAGCAGACCATAGGAAAACAAAGTGAAAAGAAGGGGAAGAAACAGACCAAACAAATGAAAGATTAATTACACACAAAAACATGAAAAATGGCTCAGGCCAACCTTCCTGAGCTGTTGCTTATGACATACAGCGGGGCTATTCAACTGATGGCCTGTGGATCACTAACAGCTGTATTGTATAAATGATCATTCTATGCCAGGGTTTGTGTCTCTGGCCTGTGACAACCACTGTTTTCAAAATTCTGGCCCCCGAGTAAACTTAGTTGAGTAGACCAGCCATTCAATTACTTTGTTCCTTGAAGGGTTGCTATAGTACTTGCCGTCAAATATCAGATCTTTCAAAGTAGGGTCCACCAGGGTTATATCAAATACTGGCAGTCAACCAGGTGAAGTAACAGAAGGTAACATGGTTCATGTAGCAGGCAAAGGGTGATCAAAACAATGTTACTGGTCAATTAATTAATAAGTGTGAGCTGACATCAATCACCTCAGTCTGGGCCACTAAGGCATCCGAGCATGGGTGTGACCTGGAAGAAGAACCTGGCCAAGTGTGTCAAGGAGGCTCACCAATCAATACTGGAGCAATCAGGCGGTGGTGCACTGACAAACTGACCACAATGGATATGGAGCAGACGTGGAGATGTCTGCAGTTTGTGCTGAACTGATGTACAGGTCAGTAAGCAGACCTTCCACTGGTGAAATGCCTGTTAAAAGACAGTATTTCAGGCAAGTTGAGAGAAGTGCCACAGAGAACAAGGGAGATTAAAATAAGAAGCAACAACTTCAATTTCCTTCATAGAAAGTGTTTCAAAAAGATGGGAAAAACACCGAATCATCACACAAGTCATGTTAATTAGTAATACACAAAAAATGAACGCACATAGATGAACTTCAACTCAGTATACCACACACACAAAAATGAATGAATACTGATGTTAATAAGTAATACACAAATAATGAACGCACATAGATGAACTTCAACTCAGTATACCACCCCAAAAAAAATGAATGAATACTGATGTTAATAAGTAATACCCGAATAATGAACGCACACAGATGAACTTCAACTCAGTATACCACACACACAAAAATGAATGAATACTGATGTTAATAAGTAATACACAAATAATGAACGCACATAGATGAACTTCAACTCAGCATACCACCCAAAAAAAATGAATGAATACTGATGTTAATAAGTAATACACAAATAATGAACTTCAACTCAGCATACCACACACAAAAATGAATGAATACTGTTTTAACATGTGCCTCACCTCAAAGACAAATATGATCAAAATATTCTTCCTTAACAAGATGCCTACATGTCCATAAGAGATGTTCAAAGACTAGTATTTGAAATAGTGAGCCACAAAAGCGATCAGGTGTCCTCTCCACAGCAAAGGTTGCTGACATGTAAAAAGTCCATTCCAGACTGAATACTTGGCAGTGTAAAAACCCAGTATTCCAGACTGAATACTTGGCAGTGTAAAAACCCACTATGAAATAGTCTCTCTGGAACAGTTGGGGGAACACATTTTAGGGATTTCTTAAGGAAGGGAATATAATTTCAAGGCTTTTCCAGGGAAAGTGGAGGCTCAGAAAGGCTAACATAAGACAAGTAAAGGGAGCAATCTTATGTCAACTTGAAGGTGTGATAGATATCTTCAGGAAACAGTAATGGAGAAAATGCTTTGTATGTATGGACTCCTGGAGGCTTGCACTTTTATCTCCCAGGATGACATGGAAACAGTGAAGGTAGCTACCCTGGGTGGATATGCCAGGCAGAACATAAGACACTAGCAATCTGGCTGACATTTCCAGCTGTGCAATTAACAAATATGAAACAACTTCCCTATTTGGTAGAGAAATAAAGCTGGTGCATTCACCATAGAACCACACCATGGCCATGGAAACGTGGTACAGGTCTTATAGAGAACCACATTATGGCCATGGAAACGTGGTACAGGTCTTATAGAGAACCACACCATGGCCATGGAAACATGGTACAGGTCTTATAGAGAACCACACCATGGCCATGGAAACGTGGTACAGGTCTTATAGAGAACCACATCATGGCCATGGAAACATGGTACAGGTCTTATAGAGAACCACACCATGGCCATGGAAACATGGTACAGGTCTTATAGAGAACCACATCATGGCCATGGAAACGTGGTACAGGTCTTATAGAGAACCACACCATGGCCATGGAAACATGGTACAGGTCTTATAGAGAACCACATCATGGCCATGGAAACATGGTACAGGTCTTATAGAGAACCACATCATGGCCATGGAAACGTGGTACAGGTCTTATAGAGAACCACACCATGGCCATGGAAACGTGGTACAGGTCTTATAGAGAACCACATCATGGCCATGGAAACGTGGTACAGGTCTTATAGAGAACCACACCATGGCCATGGAAACGTGGTACAGGTCTTATAGAGAACCACATCATGGCCATGGAAACATGGTACAGGTCTTATAGAGAACCACACCATGGCCATGGAAACATGGTACAGGTCTTATAGAGAACCACATCATGGCCATGGAAACGTGGTACAGGTCTTATAGAGAACCACACCATGGCCATGGAAACATGGTACAGGTCTTATAGAGAACCACATCATGGCCATGGAAACATGGTACAGGTCTTATAGAGAACCACATCATGGCCATGGAAACGTGGTACAGGTCTTATAGAGAACCACACCATGGCCATGGAAACATGGTACAGGTCTTATAGAGAACCACACCATGGCCATGGAAACATGGTACAGGTCTTATAGAGAACCACATCATGGCCATGGAAACATGGTACAGGTCTTATAGAGAACCACATCATGGCCATGGAAACATGGTACAGGTCTTATAGAGAACCACATCATGGCCATGGAAACATGGTACAGGTCTTATAGAGAACCACATCATGGCCATGGAAACATGGTACAGGTCTTATAGAGAACCACATCATGGCCATGGAAACATGGTACAGGTCTTATAGAGAACCACATCTTGTTCACTGCCTTGATGTTACTGTCTCTACACTTTACATGTTACAATGTTCTGGAGCACAAACACATGTTGGATGTGTCTGTTCTTAGAGTGTTTTGAAATGTGACAAATGATGAACCATGCATGTCTGTAGGGCAATCATATCTTAACAATAGTGTGAATTATTTTCATTAGCATTTTTGTGTTTGGAGCATTAATGAAAAAAAAAGCATGATCTTGTTAAGTGTCTTTGTGTGTCCAGTGTCTTTGCTGAAGTCACATATCCAGTGTCTCTGCTGAAGTCACATGTCCAGTGCCCCTGCTGAAGTCACATGTCCAGTGTCCCTGCCGAAGTCACATGTCCAGTGTCCCTGCTGAAGTCACATGTCCAGTGTCCCTGCTGAAGTCACATGTCCAGTGTCCCTGTTGAAGTCACTTGATGGAAGAAAAACTTCTTGATCAGCTGATCTGTGTATTCTGTGAACTGGCAGAGACAAAAGCCAGCAAAAGACTAGACTGCACAATTACCATGTATCGAAACAAGAGCCAGATTGGACCAATGTGACTTGTCATCTCACGGTAGTCTGACTATGCTGAAAACAATTCAGTAAACAAACCAGGACCAATCAGTTGATAATTATTCCCAAGTTTTTTCCAGTTACATAAGATGATTAGAAAAAAAAATACTGTCACAATCATAAAGCTGCAGATCTTGCATGCCATGTTAAAGGAAGAAGACAAAATTGTTGGTCAGTTGGTTTCTTCATCAGTAGAATACTCAAGTTTTAATACGGGCCAACACATCCTGACATTGCTGGCATATCCGCCTCTGTACAATCTGTCACAGAACAATCTGTCACTGTACAATCTGGTCTGGAAGTGGCGGCTAAAGAAAGTAGTCCGGCTGTGGTTTCTTTGATGGGATGCCTCGGGATTCCTGTGGATTAAATCAGGTTTGTTATCTGGTGACAGAAAACAGTTGACAACCACACAAATTTAATAACACACAACAACAGCATATCGTTTACAGAATGTTGTTCTCTTCATGGCAAGCCTGACAGTCTCTCTTTCTCTAGCCCATTCTCCAGCCCTGTGTGCTTTCATAGTCCATTCTCCAGCCCTGTGTGCTTTCATAGTCCATTCTCCAGCCCTGTGTGCTTTCATAGTCCATTCTCCAGCCCTGTGTGCTTTCATAGTCCATTCTCCAGCCGTGTGCTTTCATAGTCCATTCTCCAGCCCTGTGTGCTTTCATAGTCCATTCTCCAGCCCTGTGTGCTTTCATAGTCCATTCTCCAGCCCTGTGTGCTTTCATAGTCCATTCTCCAGCCGTGTGCTTTCATAGTCCATTCTCCAGCCGTGTGCTTTCATAGTCCATTCTAAAGCCGTGTGCTTTCATAGTCCATTCTCCAGCCGTGTACTTTCATAGTCCATTCTCCAGCCGTGTGCTTTCATAGTCCATTCTAAAGCCGTGTGCTTTCATAGTCCATTCTCCAGCCGTGTGCTTTCATAGTCCATTCTCCAGCCATGTGCTTTCATAGTCCATTGTCCAGCCCTGTGTGCTTTCATAGTCCATTCTCCAGCAGTGTGCTTTCATAGTCCATTCTCCAGCTGTGTGCTTTCATAGTCCATTCTTCAGCCGTGTGCTTTCATAGTCCATTCTCCAGCCGTGTGCTTTCATAGTCCATTCTCCAGCTGTGTGCTTTCATAGCCAATGCATCTTCAATGTCCTGTATGCCTGTTAGTGGAGGTTGGTCTCTGCCATATTTTCCAGAAACTACCCTCCATAACTGTTCCGTCCAGACCACCATGGCCTTAGACATTTCCAAAAATATCTAAGCTTGTGGGATAGGACGCTGTTTATGAGACAGTTCTCCTCGTTGCTTAACTCATGTAGAATGTCAATGTTTTTCTGTTTCTTGATCCATGGTTTTCTAAGAATTTTTCTGTAACATTTCAATTTTGACGCTCCAGGGCCATCACATATCTAGCCTGTCATACATCAATTCACCACCAAGTGGTGCAGAACCGGCCAGTCTATCTACACACCAGGAAGAAATATCCAAAGGACGCTAACTACCCAGGACCTCTGAAATGATGCTTGCCATTCTGCACTGACTGCCTGTCTCCTCCTTTGTCAACATGCTCTTTGAGTCAGGGAAAATCACAGGAAGTGTGTACAGCTAATTATCAAGCTAGTGGAAGGCATCAGTGACTGCCTCCACCTCCATTCTCAATCTAGACATTGTGATATCATATGCCAAGCTCTACTGCACTAAGCAACATCTATTCGCTGGCTACGAACTCCGTCTGCCCCTCAACACAGAGCCATTGGTACAGATAACCACTATCGGGGTGGGACTTGTCATGAATCATTTGTTGAACTTTTAACTTCTGATTCTGCAGCACCAGCTGGCCAGTCCCTGCACTCATGGCCTAAAGTGATCAGAATCCTACACTGGCTCGGATGCTTTTACTCACTTCTCTCCCCCAAATTGTTTAAGCCTGCATGAGTGTCCAAATGTGTCTTCATATATATACCAGAAGCCAACATCACTAGCTAGACGTATCTTACACCTGAAATGTCATTTTAAAGGCTTCAAAAGTCACAAGGAAACAACAACTTCCTGATGTTAACAAAAAACAGAAACTTACTTGTGGTGCTGCTTCAAAAATTGTGAATTCTCGCTTCAAATTTTCATCAAGTTCTAAAATTGCTGCCACGTTGCCACACCTGCAGAAAAAAATAGAAAGAACATTACTAGACAAAAGCCGATACTGACGAGAAACTCAAAATATAATTAGGAGGCCTGAGAGACAGACAGACAACCAGATGTCTTGAAAAAATCTGTTTAATACAGAACTGGGGTGGGGGGGGGGGGGGGGGGGTGCTTGATAAAATGTCTCTTCCAATAAAGCAAACATCCTCAACAAGCTCAGGGTAGATCACTCTGCAGACCTGTCTGCGACTGCTTGAAGTCTACACTACAGCTGAGGCTGTCTATGGGACAAGGTCGCCAGTCTCAGGTCAATATGCATCAGTATCAACATTCAAACACAAAAGGCAGCTTACAGCATGTGACTATTGTTTGCTTCCCAAACGGGCACAGAAACACAGATGACCCAACAAATTACCATAATATACAATGAAAAGGCTGCTTTTCTAGACCCCCCCCCCCCCCCCCCTCTTTATGGTCCACTGAAAACATTGCAGCAATCGAAACATTTTGAGATGCGTCCCTGTTTGCCAAGAGCTTGGTCCAATAAACTGACAACTTTGATTTCTCTAGACCCCCCCCCCCCCCCCCCCCCCCCCCCCCCCCCCCCCCCCGGTTCACAGAAAACTTTGCAGCAATCGAAACATTTTGAGATGCGTCCCTGTTTGCCAAGAGCTTGGTCCAATAAACTGACAACTTTGATTTCTCTACAAGGACGTGACAAGAATTAATACAGATGGTCAAATCAAAAGCCATAATCTACTATTGCTAGTAAGTATATCTTCTACTTCCTTGCTCTCTTCTAAAGAGACCATATCAGGTTGATTTCACTATCTCTCCTCCTCAAGTATTCTGTTTATTAAACTGGAAGTTGCCCTCCAATATATATATATATATATATTTATAAGAAAAACAACAATGTTTTTAAGAAACACAACAATAAATAACAGCACAGGTGCTAAATATACATCTTCAGGTCTGGAACAATGACAACAATAAATGACAGCACAGGTGCTAAACACATCTTCAGATGTTGAACAACAAATAAGGCACAATACCTGTAACAGTAGTTGGGGGCTGACCACACAGTCAGGACCATTTCACCAAAGTGCCACTTGTAGCCCTCCATGACCAGCTGGTGGGCTCTGCATATCAAGTCGACCTCATTCTCCTGGCAGAAGGAATTGACCACGTCGCTGCCAAACAAGTAGCCAGCACCTCGAGGACTGACCCCCCAGCCTTGCATGTCTGTGGGACAAGAAGACAGTTGCATGCGATGACAGGCAGAATATTTGCGAACATGACTAGGACTTTGGAACCTATCAAAATTAGGCATGTCCATCTGTTCTAAGGCTGGAGGTGAAGTCTGCTTCCTCATGACTACATGGTGTTATTTCTACCAGAGCACTAGTTAGAGCATCTACTTAGAGACTCCTGATATCTGCAGCTGGACCATACTCAAGCAAACATCAGAGCCAGCCACCTCTTACTAAACAGCCCCTCCACAAACCTACAGATGTACAGCACTCAAGCAAAGACCAGAGTCATCACTTTTATTTAAAAAGGCAGAATTTGTTTTAACAAGTGTACACAGTGCCTTTCTGAATGTTGCTTTTATCTACGAAGTTCAGATGTCTAAGATATTACCCAGGATCACCAAAATCTTTACTCTACAGAACATTGCCTTCTCTACACTAATTATGTCTGAGTTAACAGCTGGATGTTGTACCTCTAATCCATCTTAAAGACTCTCCTGAGCTAACAACTAAATTGTGTACCTCTAAACCATCTCAACAACTCTCCTAAGTTAACAACTAGATTGTGTACTACTAAGCCATCTCAACACGTCCCCTGAGCTAACAACTAGATTGTGTATCTTGAAGCCATCTCAACACGTCTCCTAGGTTAACTATTAGATTGTGTACTTCTAAGCCATCTCAACACGTCTCATGAGTTAACAGCTGGATGTTGTACCTCTAAGCCATCTCAACACCTCTCATGAGTTAACAGCTGAATGTTGTACCTCTAAGCCATCTCAACACCTCTCATGAGTTAACAGCTGAATTACCTCTAAGCCATCTCAACACCTCTCCTGAGCTAACAACTAGATTGTGTACCTCTAAGCCATCTCAACACCTCTCCCCACACACAGTAGTTAAACTGATATGCCAAACACTCCCCACACACAGTAGTTAAACTGATATGCCAAACACCCCCCTCACACAGTAGTTAAACTGATATGCCAAACACTCCACATTCAGAGTCATTATTCAAAATATGATATTCCTGTCTCAGTCCCCACATTTTATTCTTTTCTTGCTGTCCAGTGCTAACAGTTGTCAGGCTGACTCGACCCTAACTGTTAACTTATATGCTTCCACCCATATAATTTTATAACTTCTTCGTTCCCAAAAATGTATGTCTTGGTAACAGCTGCTTGTGACATACAGAGACTTAAGTCAGACAGACAATTAAATATTTCAATAAAAAAATTGAAACAGTACCTTCTGGGTCAGACCACAACAGATCACACATTGGTCCGTCATGGGGCACTTCCTGCTTCCGGTCAATCTGCCGAATCTGGTCGAGGGATGTGATTGACGGAGACAGCCCACCATGCACACAGAAAATCTGGCAATGACATTAAAATATGTTTATGTATTCCACAGCAGTAGAGCTGTAGCAGTGACAGTTTAGGTGCAGTTACTGGCAGTTTAGGTGTAGTTACTGGCAGTTTAGGTGTAGTTACTGGCAGTGGAGGTGTAGTCACTGGCAGTGGAGGTGTAGTTACTGGCAGTTTAGGTGTAGTTACTGGCAGTTTAGGTGTAGTTACTGGCAGTTTAGGTGTACTTACTGGCAGTTTAGGTGTAGTTACTGGCAGTTTAGGTGTAGTCACTGGCAGTGGAGGTGAAGTCACTGGCAGTGGAGGTGTACTTACTGGCAGTTTAGGTGTAGTTACTGGCAGTTTAGGTGTAGTCACTGGCAGTGGAGGTGTAGTCACTGGCAGTTTAGGTGTAGTTACTGGCAGTTTAGGTGTAGTTACTGGCAGTAAAGGTGCAGTTACTGGCAGTGGAGGTGTAGTTACTGGCAGTGGAGGTGCAGTTACTGGCAGTGGAGGTGCAGTTACTGGCAGTGGAGGTGTAGTTACTGGCAGTGGAGGTGTAGTTACTGGCAGTGGAGGTGAAGTTACTGGCAGTGGAGGTGAAGTTACTGGCAGTAGAGGTGCAGTTACTGGCAGTGGAGGTGCAGTTACTGGCAGTGGAGGTGTAGTTACTGGCAGTGGAGGTGCAGTTACTGGCAGTGGAGGTGCAGTTACTGGCAGTGGAGGTGTAGTTACTGGCAGTGGAGGTGAAGTTACTGGCAGTAGAGGTGTAGTTACTGGCAGTGGAGGTGAAGTTACTGGCAGTAGAGGTGCAGTTACTGGCAGTAGAGGTGCAGTTACTGGGACTAGAGGTGTAGTTACTGGCAGTGGAGGTGTAGTTACTGGGACTAGAGGTGTAGTTACTGAAAACAGTGCATATTGAAAAGATTGCAGCTGCTGAGGCACTGAAAGCTTCAGCCATAAGTGGACCATCCATCAAAACTATCAGGAAAAGGCAAATGAAATTTGCAGGACTTAAGACTGAAAGAGGCGGTTCAGAGATAATTGCCATATGTGGGCAAGAGAACCGAACCAGAGGACAACAGAACTATGTATAAGGACGGTTTCTCAACAACAAATAATACCAGTATGCAGTAATCATTCCAGACCAGATGAACATGCTTCAGGAAACTATTACAGGTAGTCTATGCTCTAAATGGCTTGAAAGTGGCCAGAAGTCGTAGTTAACCTCCATCATCTGGATCTAGACACCTGGGAACGCAGGAGTAATGGTAATGAAAGAGCTGACCAGCTGGCAAGTAATGCACCAGTGCATACAGGAAGAAGAATGGATACAGCAGATATCAACGCTGTATGGACCAGGTTGGTGGATAATGTTGAATCTTTGACAAGTACATGACCGGAATTAAGTATGCCCATGCCATCTTTGATGTAAAGACAAATAAGTTTGTCAATGGAACAATCAGTAGAGGCACCTTGGAGTGGCTACTGCATCGGAGGACTGAGCATGCATGGGAATGCCCAATGTACAAAGATGTCGATTATGATAACATATCATAACATAAAAGAGTACGAGATGGGCAAGTAGAAGAATCCGAAAGACATTTTCCTTTCTTCAGAAATTCACCGTCGCTGACTTACATGCAGTGATTAATCCTTTCACACATGTTTCAGTTTTATCAACTCAGCACGGGCTTACAAAGTGGTGGGATAGAGGATGGAAGCTCGGCAATCAAACACCTACTGCAAACACATAACGATGTCTACATGTGAACTGCCCAAAACCTTGCTTGACAATTCCGAACTGCTTTGAGATTTTGTTCTTTCATATGAAAATCTTCAGCCTAAAGCTCTGAACTGAATCAAGTAACTTCTCAACTTGTGTTAGACACCAGAATCTCCCAGCAAACCACTAAAAGATTTGACATCACATGGAATATGACAGGGTAACAACCTAACTACCAAGCAAATGCCAGTACACAAACACTAACAATACACACACGACAAACCAAATGCTGTTACATATAAACTGAGAATACACACACGACAAACCAAATGCTGTTACATATAAACTGAGAATACACACACAACAAACCAAATGTCATTACACACAAACTAACAACATAAAGAGAAACCACATGTCATTACACACAAACTAACAACATAAAGAGAAACCACATGTCATTACACACAAACTAACAACATAAAGAGAAACCACATGTCATTACACACAAACTAACAGCATACAGAACAAACCACATGTCATGACACACAAACTAACAGCATACAGAACAAACCACAGAATGAGAGTACTTACTCTGCCATCTACGATCGCTGATAAACTCAGATAATCAAAGATTTCTGTACAGTAGCGCCACACTGTGATAGAACCATACTTTCGTAAACATTCATCGTAGAAACCATAAACTTGTGTGATCTGTCTGCTCTCATGGTTGCCTCGTATTAAAGTGATGCGGTCTGGATATCGAACCTGAAACGTAGTGAGCAACGTACTTGATTTCTAATTTGTCACCATATTATCTCCTTATGTTAATGTAGGATCAGTCATCAAACTGACAGGTTCTCTTATTAGTTCTGTCCTGGACTACCTCTCCTCCCCAAATTTATATACATTTTTTTAATGTCTTCGAATATTCAGGGTTTTGTTTGGACACCAAAAGTGACCTGAAAACAAACAACTGACATGAAGAATTGGCAGGATGCAGTAAAATATGATGCAATCTTTGGTCCATGTCTCAATCAATCAGCACGTCCCTTAGAGCAGCAGTTCTAATTTTTTTCTGCCGCTGAACCCTTGTCAGGCTAAATAGCCCATGCTACCCTTTAAGCAGTTTAAAAACATTAGGTTCATTCACCATTTCACCCAGGGACCTAGAAAAAAATAAAGCTGCTGACCTGAATTTCCAGAAGTATCCGTAAATGAAGTCTTTTTAAAAATACAAGAGGGTCACACAAAAAATATATTTATGGATCAAAAAACAATAATAATTTCCATAAAGAATAAGAAGAGTGATCAGTAAACATAAACATAGCAGATAATTACCGGATTTCTTCTTTGACAATGTAAAAAAGTGTACAGGGGACTACTACTTGTTGACACCATAACTCGGTCGCCAGGTAACCACTAGCTACAGGAAATTATGATGTCACAATTCCTACCAAAAAGAGCTCTCTGTTTACAAGAAAACCCACAGTGAGGCTATTTTAGCAATTATAATCAATGACGCCCGCCTAAACATTGACTAAGTTGTAAACTTATGAGCCCGCCTAAACATTGACTAAGTTGTAAACTTATGAGCCCGCCTAAACATTGACTGAGTTGTAAACTTATTAGCCTGCCTAAACATTGACTAAGTTGTAAACTTATTAGCCTGCCCAAACATTGACTAAGTTGTAAACTTATGAGCCTGCCTAAACATTGACTAAGTTGTAAACTTATGAGCCCGCCTAAACATTGACTAAGTTGTAAACTTATTAGCCTGCCCAAACATTGACTAAGTTGTAAACTTATGAGCCCGCCTAAACATTGACTAAGTTGTAAACTTATTAGCCTGCCCAAACATTGACTAAGTTGTAAACTTATGAGAACATTTAGACAATCAATGTTTTCTGTACATGTTGTGTAAAGGAATGGACTTGAGAACACGTTGACAACTGGCAAGATTGAAGGAAAGAGAGCAATAGAAAGGCAAAGAAATTATGATTTGGATGGTCAGGCCAGACAAGAACACAGAACTGATCCATGATTCTGGTGACCATGTGAGATGGCAAAACATGACATTCTACGCTTACTGGCACAGCACCTGATGATAAACCCTTACCATAGGTGCAAATGATAACAGTGCTGTTAGCTATGTTTCCGATGAACAAGCCATGACAGCAAGTCAGTAAAGTGACATTTAGGGGGAACTGGGCTCAACTGGAAGTGTCAGGTTTGCAGCTTCTCGGAGTAACTGGAGTACAATATTACAATGACTCAGAGGTACGGAGAGTCATGACAACCAATATAAGCTCCACGGGGCACAAGTAGAAACTATTAACTCTCAAAACTACTACATGTACAATCTTTCTACACTGAATGATTTTATCTCCTTTAGGTTGCTGTGAAAAAAATGTTTACTACGAAAAACTGTTTTCAAAGAGAGAATTGATATACAATAAACACACACTCCCTGATACAAACAATAAACACACACTCCCTGATACAAACAATAAACACACACTTCCTGATACAAACAATAAACACACACTCCCTGATACAAACAATAAACACACACTCCCTGATACAATAAACACACACTCCCTGATACAAACAATAAACACACACTCCCTGATACAAACAATAAACACACACTCCCTGATACAATAAACACACACTCCCTGATACAATAAACACACACTCCCTGATACAATAAACACACACTTTCTGATACAATAAACACACACTCCCTGATACAATAAACACACACTCTCTGATACAATAAACACACACTTCCTGATACAAACAATAAACACACACTTCCTGATACAAACAATAAACACACACTTTCTGATACAAACAATAAACACACACTCCCTGATACAATAAACACACACTTCCTGATACAAACAATAAACACACACTCCCTGATACAAACAATAAACACACACTTCCTGATACAAACAATAAACACACACTTCCTGATACAAACAATAAACACACACTTTCTGATACAAACAATAAACACACACTCCCTGATACAATAAACACACACTTTCTGATACAATAAACACACACTTCCTGATACAATAAACACACACTCCCTGATACAATAAACACACACTCCCTGATACAATAAACACACACTTCCTGATACAATAAACACACACTTCCTGATACAATAAACACACACTTCCTGATACAAACAATAAACACACACTTCCTGATACAAACAATAAACACACACTCCCTGATACAATAAACACACACTCCCTGATACAATAAACACACACTTTCTGATACAATAAACACACACTCCCTGATACAATAAACACACACTTCCTGATACAATAAACACACACTCCCTGATACAATAAACACACACTTCCTGATACAATAAACACACACTCCCTGATACAATAAACACACACTCCCTGATACAATAAACACACACTTCCTGATACAATAAACACACACTTCCTGATACAATAAACACACACTTCCTGATACAATAAACACACACTTCCTGATACAATAAACACACACTTCCTGATACAATAAACACACACTCCCTGATACAATAAACACACACTTCCTGATACAAACAATAAACACACTTCCTGATACAATAAACACACACTCCCTGATACAATAAACACACACTTCCTGATACAATAAACACACACTCTCTGATACAATAAACACACACTCCCTGATACAATAAACACACACTTCCTGATACAAACAATAAACACACACTTCCTGATACAATAAACACACACTCCCTGATACAAACAATAAACACACACTCCCTGATACAATAAACACACACTTCCTGATACAAACAATAAACACACACTCCCTGATACAATAAACACACACTCCCTGATACAATAAACACACACTCCCTGATACAATAAACACACACTCCCTGATACAATAAACACACACTCCCTGATACAATAAACACACACTCCCTGATACAAAAAACACACACTCCCTGATACAAAAAACACACACTGCCTGATACAATAAACACACACTGCCTGATACAATAAACACACACTGCCTGATACAAAAAACACACACTTCCTGATACAATAAACACACTCTTCCTGATACAAAAAACACACACTTGCTGTAGACTGACCTTTAAGGCCAGCAATAAGAGAAATGTCTCCACACTATAAAACCCTCGGTCCACAAAGTCTCCCATGAAGAGATAGTTGGTCTCCGGCACCTTCCCTCCAACTGTAAACAATTCTTTCAGGTCGTAAAACTGTCCGTGTATGTCACCACAGACCTGGCAACGTAAACAGTTATCAATGAAAACTTTTTTCTCACAATAAATCAATACATTGACAAATTACATATTTCTTTTAACATCACCTTTATCTTGTGCACTTTGAAATACAAACTTGAACATAAAAAAAGCACACACCAGTTTTGTAGGAAATTCCATTTAAAGGAAATCACAAGCAACAGAGAAATTTGCAACAGTCGATTTAGTATTGTTCAGTTTAAAATGCCTTGCACAGATTTCACTGTAGTAACATTTTGTATAAAGCAGAAGTTTTAACAGTTTAAATAATTATATTTACGTGTGCAGGAATGTTAAGTTGGTAAACAATGACACCTGTTCTATTTGTAATGTAATTTAGCTACAGTGACCCCATTTCAACAGTTAACAGATGATTTGGAACATCATACAGATATTCCCACCCTTTTTTCTTCTACAAGAAGGAATGAGTGTTTGTCAGTCTCTCTGTTCTTTTATATGGCACAAAACTACCAGGAAGAGGACAGACAACGCAGTAAGCAGAACAAGTTTTAGGACAAAGAAGGAATAAGACAAAACTTCATAAGAAATGAGGAAGGACACAAAACAATCATGACAAACGAAGAAATCAGTCACAAAACAATCATGACAAACGAAGAAATTAAGTCTCAAAACGAACAGACGGGTAAGCTTACAGTGACTGGAGCATCAACTGCCTGCACATTTCCCTCCTCGATGAGTATTTCCCTGGCTTTGGCACATAGGGCTTTGACCTCACTCTCTTTGATAATCTCACATCTCTGTAGCTGCTCGATTTGCCTAGAACGATACAGCAAGAGTATAACTACAGAAACATTATAAACACAACAAGAGAACATTTACAGAAGCATAATAAACACAACAAAAGTACAATTACAGAAGCATAATAAACACAACCAAGAGTATAACTACAGAAGCATTATAAACACAACAAGAGTACAATTACAGAAGCATAAAAAAAAAAACCCAACCAAGAGTACAATTACAGAAGCATTATTATAAACACAACAAGAGTGCAATTCCTATGCATTCACGTTTCAAAAAAAGCAGTTGTCATGATGTGTTATGGTATACAGCTAGGCTTAATTTAAATATCTATGGCATGCTGTGTTATGGTATACAGCTAGGCTTAAATATCTATGGCATGATTTGTTATGGTATACAGCCAGGCTTAAATATCTATGACATGATGTGTTATGGTATACAGCCAGGCTTAAATATCTATGACATGATGTGTTATGGTATACAGCCAGGCTTAAATATCTATGACATGATGTGTTATGGTATACAGCCAGGCTTAAATATCTATGACATGATGAGTTATGGTATACAGCTAGGCTTAAATATCTATGACATGATGTGTTATGGTATACAGCCAGGCTTAAATATCTATGACATGATGAGTTATGGTATACAGCCAGGCTTAAATATCTATGACATGATGAGTTATGGTATACAGCCAGGCTTAAATATCTATGACATGATGAGTTATGGTATACAGCCAGGCTTAAATATCTATGACATGATGTGTTATGGTATACAGCCAGGCTTAAATATCTATGACATGATGTGTTATGGTATACAGCCAGGCTTAAATATCTATGGCATGATTTGTTATGGTTTTCAACTAGGCTTAAATATCAGTTAAAAGCTGTGTAATGGTTTACAGCCTGGCTTAGATATCTGAAATTTTCAGCCAAATATCTCGGATTTCAGTAACCCTGAATTAGTCATGTTTCACAACATGTCTATCAAGGGGGTAGGGGAGTATTCTTGCCCCCTAAAATGGGCTCAGGAACCTGCAATGGGTCCTGCTTCAATTCCAGAACAGGCAGAATTTTGTGTCCCCAGACCAGTGCAGCTATGGGATCATTTCACAGACCTGTTTGGTACACACATGTAAATTCTAACACTTAGGAGGATCACTGCTGGAGCTATAGAGGACACGCTTTGGGTGTCGTTCTCAGCAGAGAGCTTGTCATTCTGCAGAGACATCCAAATGGGAGAAACCAGAATGCACAAAGCCAATCTTGTAGCTTTTTAAACCTCTAGATCAGTGGGGCCCAAGAACGTTTTAAGGCTGCGCCAAGCAATTGTGATATTATACTAACATTTGTTTTATGAATAACATTGTAGCTTAAATTATTACACTATAAAGAACTTAGGGCTGCAAGCTGGGTACGGGACCTCCATTGCGCTTTGTCCAGCAGCATATAGGGCTACACCTATTTTTACAGATTATTCAGCAGTTGGTAGGTGATTTGGTCAACATCACACCAGCCACCTTTACTTCACAGGACTATATATGGTACCCACTCAAGACTAGTTTGACCTGGCGGTCAAGGTCATTTGTGTTAAAAGCCTGCCAACATCAGGACCCTGACCCACGACCTTCCAATCCCCAGCTGCTACACCACTGGTGCTCACTAGCTGCTACACCACGGGTGCTCCCTAGCTGCTACACCACGGGTGCTCCCTAGCTGCTACCCCATGGGTGCTCTCTAGATCCCTAGGCCAATTTTAGCTGCTACACCATGGGTGCTCCCTAGCTGCTACACCACTGGTGCTCCCTAGCTGCTACACCACGGGTGCTCCCTAGTTGCTACACCACGGGTGCTCCCTAGCTGCTACACCATGGGTGCTCCCTAGATCCCTAGGCCAATTTCTAGCTGCTACACCATGGGTGCTCCCTAGCTGCTACACCATGGGTGCTCCCTAAATCAAAAGAAGCAGATTTTAAGAATGGCGAAACCAATGTCAGCCAGCACATTGATATTTGGACACTAAATTAACAGTTGGTGACTGTTGTTGAAAATGTTATTTGAAACTCTGATTGATGTGGATGTTGACTAACATTCTTGTTAATAAAGCCTGAGATTTGTCTTTGCCCTCTACTGATTGATGTTTGAAAAATGGGGAGGGGAGGCACCACCTGAAATAAGGTTGTAAACCCCTGCTGTGAAATCTTCAGCGTTAAAGACCAGACAAAACCAACATGGTGACCAGGCAATGAGGATTGTTGTGGGTTAAAGTCAGTGACAGAGGAATCGTCAAGTGTGGACTAATGTTGTCACCTGTGACAATCTAGGTCAACACCAGATAACAAAAACTGACCTGTCCAAATCACTGATGTCTGTCATTGTTGCTGAAATATTCACTGGTGATCTGAAACAAAATAACCAGCAATCATAATGATAATCGTAATCAGATTGTGACATGAGCTGTAATTAAATAATGTGAAATTATAATATATAATGAAAAAGCCTGATATAATCTCTCTATTAGAATCTCTAGATAAACACTTGACTCAGTGAGTACACATGCGCAACATACACTTGTGACGATAAACTTCATCTGTTGCACACTGGAGCTATATACTACACGTGCACTGGTTATGAACACTCAGCTCAATCTTCAGTCACAGAAGGATTTACATATGACCTGGCAAGGTGCCGGGCCATATCATTACCATGAACAATGTTCAGAAGACAGAAAAGACAAACAGATCGGCACCGGGTAAATCCTGACTGACAGTTTTGTCGACAATAAAAACTTATCATAATATTTAAATTCGCACATCTGGGTTAAACTCTTTTGTGCATCTAATTACATCTGTATCTGGGTTCAACTCTTTTGTGAGTCTAATTACATCGGTAAATAACTCATTATGTGGGTGAGATCAGGAGTTCCTGTTCGTATTCGCGATTGCTGCAGTAAATTGTCAAAACATCATCATCATCAAAGCAAAATTATGAACAAAATCACAGACTTGCTGTGTAGCTATCAACATTACACAGACATTTCAATATCACCCTAACTGTATTATTTACTTTGTATGTCTGTGTTTTTTTAAAACTAAATATCCATTACATATTTACTTCTAATACCTAGTTCTAATTCACAAACAAAAACCATTTTTACTTTAAACATATATAATAGATTTCCAGGAGCAAAATCAACACATGATGATGTCAGTTCAGTTCAGCTGTCTGTTAACATTTTAAAACTAAAAATATATAGCACAGAAACATACTAATCTGACTAATCACATCTACCTGAAAAGGGGGAGGGTGGAGGGGGGGGGGGGGAGGGAGAGAGAATTCCAGTCAAAATAATATAAAATAATTCTCTGGCTTTCTTGACAATGATGATTAAATTTAATAAATGATCAACCTTTATGTCTCATGACAATTTCTGTCTTATTATTAAAGTTTCAGAGAAAATTCCAAAGAATTTTAAAAACAAAGTTAAGAATTAACTTGAGTGCCTTAAATCAAGTCACTAGATAATATTAATAAGCGTTACAACTTATATTGTATAGTATTACTTAGTATAATTGATAATAATCAAGTGAAAACAAAAACAATTTTCTGTTACTGTAAATAATATTTCTAAACTTGCAATGTATCACGAATGAATGATGGTTGTGTTATGAATCAGAAAGTGTCAGTCAGCCATCATTTGAGAATTAGAATGATGGCAATGAATGAGTTTTCTCTAACTTTTTCTTAGTAGCTCAGAAACAGGAGCGGTCGCCGCTGACATTCGCTCAGCAAATCGTGAGATCGCGATCTCAGCTCAGATTCCTGCTTGAAACAACTGTTGTCACAACAAAACAGTTCACTGACACCACATATTAGTTTAAATACTATTTATGATCAGTTCCCGGTCGTGTTTGATAAAAAATCTTCGCTCAGTTTTTAACTGCGTGAGAAAACAAAAACATAAAATAAACATTCATTCATTCCGTGCAACTGTAACATTAATCATTATTAACTTATTAACATTCAATCACATCAGTTCAACTTAGCGGTAGCGCTCATCAACAGTAGCCGCAGGTGCAGCAACGATCAATATAAGATATAATGTTGTCGGTTAAAACTAACAGACTATTCGTCTGTGGTCTGTTATAACTGAGACACAACTGTGAGCTGACAGAGGTAGATGTTGCCCAAACAAACCTTGTGAGAGAGTAATTTCGCTGGAGTGTTTGCCGTGTCTGGGGAAGCAACTGGGTCAACTTCCTGTTCTCTAGCGATTTCTCCCCCGGAAGTGGAACACTCCTTGTTCGCGAAGTACATAATATTACGGTCCATCTCAAGCCGTCCTTGTCCTTGTTTGTGTGTGTGCGTGTGGATGTGTGTAGGGTGTAGTGTGTGTGTGTGTGGATGTGAGTGTGGAATGGGATATTGGTCTGCAACCACTAACGCCAGGTCACTCTACCCTTTGTTAACAATTGCAACTCTCTTAACAGCATGTGGGTGTATATGTGTATGTGTGATTTTATATAAGTATGTGTAATTGTGGGTGTGTTTGTGTGTATATTATGTATGCAAGTATGTATGTATGTATGTATATATGTATGTGGGTGTCTGTATGTGTGATTCTATATGTGTGTATGCATGCATTTGTGTATCCTTGCATGTGTGTGTATGAATGTAATGTGTGTGTGTACATGTATGTGTGTGTGTATCTATATGTGTGTGTATGCATGTTGGTTGATGTATGTATGCATATGTAGCTGTGTAAGTATGTGGGTGTACATGTGTGTATTTAGGTATATATGCAAGTATGTATGTATATTTGTGTGTAAGAATGTGAGTGTAAGTATGGATGTGTGCATGTATGGAATGTGTGTGCATGTATGTCTAGGTATGTAAGTATGTGTGTGTATGTATGTAGGTTCATGTATGTATGTATTACGTATGTCTGTATATGAGTGTGTATGTATGAGAATGTAAGAGTATGTGTACGTTTGTGTGTCTGAGTGAGTAAGATTGTGTATCCATGTGTTTATGCATTATTCTATAATGTATATTTCTTTATTATCCACATAGCAGGCATTGGTTCTCTGAAAGATGAGTTCTTAGAAGGGCCGAATGTCAGACCACCGGCCTGCATGCCCAATTTGTAACCCTTTGAAAATAAAGTTGGTTTGTTCGTTCGTTCCCCTTCACTAATTCTATACTGCATGTTTTTTTAATATGCTGTAATTCCTTGAATTATGTACAAAGACGTTCTAGATAATTTGCTACCAGGTTTTCTCAGTGTGTCCCTTATCTAACACCATTTTCTCCCTTCCCCCCCCCCCCCCCTCCTTTCCCAAAAAGACAACCTTAAAAGTTAAAAATATATTGAGATCCTGGAGTGAAACCATTAAAATAAACCCATTTTAACCCCCCCCCCCCCCCCCCCTCGTGCTGGTATTAACTGTAAAGTGTCTAAAAATGTGCTAATACTAAAAAAAAAGATTTGCATATTAATAGTGGTGATGACAACAAATGCCTAATATCAGTGGCGTAGCAAGGTCAGGGCGTACTATCTGCAGAGAATTTCCTGTCACCCCATCCCCCTTTCAACCCAGTTCCCAATATATATATAAACATTTTAAAGCACATTTTTGGTTCTATTTTGTCTTTCTCTTCAATGACATCCGGGCGGCCTGCACACCATTCCTACGCCACTGCCTAAAATAGGTGCTGGTACTGCAAACTATTGCATACTGCCAGACAAATTTCTCTGACTGTACCTACTTCATATTGCCCTACCCAGTGCTGCAATCTTTTAAAATTATTATTATTGTTGTTATTTAACATCTAATGAGATAGTGACCTCTTACATACAATGTTATTAAAGTCTACTTCATTAACAGTTTTGGCTTGAGAATGGAGGTGGAGGCAGTCACTGCTGGGATCAGCTGTACACACATATCACAAATGTAACCGATTCTATGAACTGATTCTGTTGCTTATTGGCAGAAAAGGAGTCGCCATGGCTGAGCGGCTAGACGCCCGCCGCAGATCGGAAGGTCGCGGACTATTTTCGGACTATTTTCAAAAAAATGACATTGGCTCCCAGGTTGACCCAGCCTTGAGTGGGTACCAGGTGCAGTCCCGGGAAGTAAAGGCGACCAGAGTGACGCTGACCACATCACCCATCTTGTGCCGATTGGTCTATAAAAATATAGGTCTAGCCCTATATGCCTAAAGGCGTGGAAAAAGGTCCTTTACTTTTCTTTTTTTTATCGGCAGAAAAAAGCTGTGCATTTACGGCATGCTCTGGAATTTGCATTGGCACTGCACATGTGTGACTGGAATGGAGAACAATAAATAGAAGAAAAGCACCCAATGAGTAATTATAGATACATGACCACACGATTGACTAGAGAAAGAAGTCACTCTGCTGTATGTATACACCGGCTTTATTTACATTTTGACAGGGCTATAGCTGTGAGCACCACATTGTATAGTATATCAGATAATATGAGACAGCAATTATGAAAGCAAGATGGAGACAACTAACATTAATGATATAACATTAATAAGAATTTACATCTCTAACTTTAAAGATTTAACAGGAGGTGGAAGAGGAATGGGAATAAAAAGACAAAGAACCTATCTACCAAAACATTAATTATTCATTTTTTATTAAACCAAAGTCTGATCACTTCAGTTTATTTTATCAAAATACTTTGCAGTAAAAAAACCTATAGGGAAATAATGGATTTGTAACAATTGACACCAAATGAACAATGGAAGCAATACATAAAATGTGGATAAACATTTGGGTAAAACAGAAAATATTATCCAGAAGACAATTTTCACAAAATATGACTAACGGAATAGAATTTACAAGAAACATTGTCCATAAGATATGAGCAATGTAAATAAAAATCACCGGACATGTCCATAAAATGCGGATAAATATTTTTTAATAAAAAGACGTAAGCAAATGCTTGTAAAATTTAAGGAAAAGCATTTAAACCTCATTAACATGAAATTCCAATGGACAAAAAAAAATGAAGTCTGTGTTAAAAATGTACGCTAACCATGGACAAATAGATGTATTATGAATAATACCTTCCTGCTGGGGAGAAATATTTGGTTCATGTTAACTGAATGTTTGTCAAAAGTGAGTTTATGTTAACAAGATTTTATCTTTAGAATGTTGAATTAGGAATCAACATCATAGCGCTTCAGCAGCAATGAAGAGTTCCAACTGCCATGGTACCAGTAACTGTCAGATTGTATATCGTCTCACCTTTCCCTTGAATGCTGAGCGTCAGCCAGATACCCTGGTAACTCCCAGCATCATCATCCTCAGACTGTAATGATCTATTTGTACCTGTGCACTGTTCTCA